GGGGTCAGGGGCTGGGGTGGGGGAGGGGATAGGGGCTCTGGGCTGGGGGTGCGCGAGGGGGCTCCGGGTTGGGGGGGCCTCAGGGCTGGGGCAGGGATGAGGGGTTTGGGGTGCAAGAGGGGGCTATGGGCTGGGAGTGTATGAGGGGGCTCTGGGTTGAGGGAGACTCAGGGCTGGGGCCAGAGACGAGGGGTTTGGAGTGCAGGAGGGGGCTCGGGTTTGGGGGGGGTCAGGGCTGGGGCAGCGGGTTGGGGCTCGGGGTTGGGGCGTGGGCTTACCTTGGTTGGCTCCCGGTCACCAGCACAGCGGGGCTAAGGCAGGTTCCCGGCCAATGGGAGTGCAGAGCCGGTGCTCGGGGCGGGGGCAGCACGTGCCGCAGAGCCTCCTGCCCGCCCCCTGCCTAGGAGCCAGACCTGCTGGCTGCGTCCGAGGTGCATCCAGGACAAGTACCTACCTTAACCCCGCAGCAATGCCGACCGGACCTTTAACGGCCCAGTCGGCAGTGCTGACCAGAGCCGCCAGGGTCCCTTTTCGACCGGGTGTTCCTGTCGAAAACCGGACACCTGGTCACCCCGGCAGGACACGACCCCCAGAGGCACAGCCCAGACCCTGCCCAGCCAAGGCCCCTGCAGGGGCTGCTCCAGCAGTCCCCGGGTGAGGCTGTTACCTTTCCCCCCCCCCCGCACTCCCTGCCCGGCTCTGACCTGCTCCCGTCTCCCCTTCCAGTTCTCGTGGCTGGTGGATGCCGTGAGCCCGGCCGAGGGCACCGAGGGCGGCTGGGACGTCACCGCCTGCTGGGCCCAGGACCGGATGGTGCAGGCGACCGAGCGCTTCGATGCTGTAATTGTCTGCAGCGGGTGAGGCCCTTGGGCGATTGCGTGGAATGTGTGGGGGGGGATCGCTCCCAGTTTGCTGCTCCCCCTGCCCTGCGGGTGCCTCGGAGCTGCTGGCAAAGGGGCTGAGCAGGGTCACTCACCGGGGTCGGGTGCGGGGGGCTCTCCCGGCTCTGGGCGGGGAGGGGGTGCAAGGGGCCCCAGGAGTGTGCAGAGGGGGGTAAAAACCGTGGCTGTGGGGGAGCCCAGGGTGTTGGGGGCAGTCATAGACCAGTCCCTGGGGTGTCGGGTGGGGAGCCCCAGAAAAACCCCTCCCCAGGGGGTGAGCAAACTTCTGGTCCTGGGCCTGGAGTTTGGAGAATGCCCCTCCCTGTGGGGGGCCTGTGTCAGTAAACGGGGGCCCCCAGGGAAGCACTAATAGGGTCCCTCTTTCTGCTCCCTTTGCAGTCACTATTCCGACCCATTCGTCCCCCCCATCCCTGGCCTCGAGACCTTCCCAGGTAAGAGCCTCCAGGGTCCCCTGGGGAAAATCCGTCTCCTGTGACCTGCCCTTTGCTCTGGGCTCTGGGACATGGGGAAGGGGCTGCCCTGGAGAAGACAGCAGGAGGGAGACGCTCCATGGGGCAGGGCAGCCCTGTGCGTGGGGAACCCATTGGGAGGCGGGGAACTCCCACAGCTCCCCCTTTCACCCCCCCTCTCCCTCCTCCCAGGCCGGCTGCTGCACAGCCACGAATACCGCTGCCCGGAGCCCTTTGCGGGCCGCACCGTGGTGCTGCTGGGGGCCGGCCCGTCCGGCGTGGACCTGACGCTGCAGCTGGCCCCCGTGGCCCAGCGGGTGATCCTGAGCCACCGGCAGCCCACGCTGTCCGCGCTGCCTGGGAACGTGCTGCAGACAGCGCCGGCGGTGGGCGTAGCGGGAGACACGGTCCAGTTCGGGGACGGCGCCGAGCACAGGGCCGACGTCCTCATCCTCTGCACCGGGTACCGGTACCGCTTCCCCTTCCTGTCGCCCGCCCGCCTGGGCCTGCGGATCACGGACCACACGGTGACGCCGCTGTACCGGCACCTGCTGCCGCCGCACCATCCCAGTCTCTTCTTCATCGGGCTCTGCAAGCAGATCTGCCCCTTCCCACACTTCCACTGCCAGCTGCTCTTCTGCCTGGCGGTGCTGGTGGGCACCTGCTGCCTGCCCTCTGCTGCCGAGATGCAGGTGGCCGCCGAGGGGCAGCTGCGGCAGCATCTAGGGGCCGGGGGGCCCCCAAGCACTTCCACCGGCTGGGAGAGCTGCAGTGGGGTTACTGCCAGGAGCTGGCACAGCTGGGTGGGTTCGAGCCCCTGCTCCCGGTGGTCAGGAAGATCTACGAGTCCACGCGGGAGAGCCGCAGGCAGGACGTCTCCAGCTACCGGAGCCTCAACTACAGGGTGTTGAGTGCTGAGGAGTGGGAGCTGGTGGGGGCAGACCCCGGGGGGACCCCAGGCGAGGGGATGTAATGGTCCCTTTCTACACTTGCTTTGCACAAAGGGGACAGGCCAGAGGGGCTGGGGGCAATGGAGACGGAGCTCCCGCCCGTGCCTGGCTCCCGGTCTTAGGCGGAGGGTTAGCCGGTGGGTCGTTGTCTGACCCAGCCAGTGCAGCCGGAGCCCCTTCACCATCGCTGCCTCCAGCCCTGCATCCTCTGCTCACCCTGGAGGCTGGGGACTTGGCCAGCCTTCCCGCCACAGCCGAGCAGGGATAAAATCCCCTGGCGCATTGGGGCCGGTGGGGAATCGGCGCCATTAGCACAAGGAGCCGAAACCTTGGTCCTGGGCGGTTTGATAGTAAAGAAATGAGCAAATAAAGGGTAAAACCTGAACCTGCTGCTGTCACGGAGTCCCCGGGCGATGCTCTGGAACTGCTCCCCACAAAGCCAGGCAGGACCTTGGGGAGCCTCCTCTCCCTCGGAGCAGACTGTCTTCAGGGCAAGGAGCTCACACGGCTTCACCTCCTGGGTCTGACCCTGGAGCATTCAGCTTCTGCCCCTCCGTGCGCTTCCCACAGCGAGTTCGCCCAGGCGGGGTCCTGGGGCAGCCAGAGGGTCCTGCCCCCCCACTTCACAGTCAGACGTGACTCTCAGCCAGCCAGTAAAACAGAGGTTTATTAGATGACAGGAACACAGTCTAAAACAGAGCTTGTAGTCCAGAGAACCGGATCCCTCAGCCAGGTCCATTCTGGGGCCCAGCGAGCCAGACACCCCCGACTGCCTCACTCCTCATCCCCAGCCAGCTCCCAACTGAAACCCCCTCCAGCCCCTCCTCCTCTGGGCTTTGTTACTTTCCTGGGCCAGGAGGTCACCTGACCTCTTTGTTCTCCCACACCTTTAGCATCCCCTTGCAGGGGGGAAGGGCCTGGCCATTAGTTGCCAGGCGACAGAGGGTTGGCCAGAAACTGAGGCACCCACACAGTATTCAGAGGAAACATTAAGAACAGTCCCACTTCATCACATCTCTCCTCCCTTCGAGACCGAACTGAGCAAGGTCATTTTAGCCGGTGACCTGGGGAAGTTTGAACCCACCAACGTTCCCATGGATGCCCCAGCATCTTTCCCATTCCTTGGTGGGAGTTACACACTAGGCCTTTCCAGTTTCACACCCTCCCGTGGGTCTGTTGTGCTTGATGGCACTTGCAGGCTGCATGTGGGAAGGTTTACGCGGCCCGTGCCCTTTTGCCACCCCAATACCCCTGGAGTTTAAACTGAGATTGGGTCTTTTTCCAGCGGTCCAGTTTGGAGGGCTGCAATTCAGGCTCTCTTGGCTAAGAGCCACCATCTTAACCTTGGCCACCCTCTGAACAGGTGTCTCTGTCCCCAGCCTCACCCCCTTGCATTTGATGCCACCACGTCGGAGAAGAGTGGTCAGTATACACTGTGACAGACCCAGACCAGTGGAGTACAGGAGTCTGGTCCTATTGGGATCCAGGAAGTGGGCGGGCAAAGGCCGCCCACTGCTAAAGGATCCCCCCCAGCCTAAGGGGGGGTCCACAGGGCCTGGAGATCAAAAAATTACGGGGGACAACTAATAAAAGAACAGGGACAGGAGTGAGGTCAAAGGGTCAAACGAAGCGAACCAGACGGAGACACCGAGCAGAGAACCCCGGACAGCGCCCACTGCTCCTCGAAGGCGTCAAGGGAGCCAGCGGATACAGGAGTCTGGTAGAGGGCAAATATACTGGTCACTGGATGAGTACTTTTCTGTTCCCTGAGTGACCAGAGCAAGGGCTGCACTAGAGTAATCAGGAACCTCCTAGAACCGTTTAAGGCAGGCAGGCTAATCAGGACACCTGGGTTTTAAAAGGAGCTCACTTCA